TCCCCACGAAAAAGCGCGGGGTCGTCCTCCGATGGTCACGGAGACGTTGCTGCCAGCGTTGAGGTGGCTCCCTTCAATGGCAATCCAGGTGCCGCCAGAGAGAGGGCCCCGGGCTGGGACCACACGGGAGAAAGTGGGAGTCTGTCAAAGGAAAAGAGCATCCCTGGTGTCGGACAGGCTGGGGACCAAAACCCGTGTCCCCAGGCAGCCTCGAGCGGGTGACGAGGCCGCAGAGGAGAGGGACATGTGGGACAGAGACAGGGCATGGTGCTAAGGGCTGATAGTACCAGCAGGACCGTGGGGAGACAGAGCAGTGGTATCCTTGGAGGAACTCAACCAGCATGACCCACTGCCTGCCTAGAGCATCCCTGCTGGCCCTCTGGGAAAATGATGGCAAATTTTCAAACTCACCCAGAAAAAACACCCAAAAGCACCCAGCATCACCTCCCTCCTGCAGCACCAGACCTGTCCCCCGGCACGGGGCTTACCACGAAGGTGAAGCTCTTGGGGGACGTGGCCCGGTAGCTGGGCGAGCAGTCGCGGATGCACACTTCCACCCGCGCCTCGTGGACCTTGCTCGGGCTGGCATCTCCAATTTCGCACACGATCCTAAGGGATGCAGGGAAGGAGCCCTCAGTGCCTCAGCACCGAGATGCTCCCTGTGTCGTGGTGGGGATGGACTGGGTTCAGGAAGGGACAGGTCTGACACCAAGCAAAGGTCCCAGATGCCAGCAGGTTTATGAGAAACCAAGGCGGTGGCTATTAGCACTGGGGGGAGCTCCCCAAAAGCCTTTGGGTGCCTCCCAAAGCAACACAACCAGCAGGCACTTCTCTCCCAGTTCAGCCCAGTCAGCTCCACATCTTCTGCAGCCACGAGCAGCACTTGAACACCAGCATGCCAGTCCCTCACCCCCCAAAGAGACCCAGAGCACACCCACCCCTCACCAGGCACTTACTGCTCAGCGCTGATGTACTCGCTCTCGATGGGGATGCACATCACTTTGCCAACTCGAACGCCCCAGCGAACATCTTCAAACTTCAGGCCCAGGTTCTCGCCGGTGATGGTCAGACGGGTCCCTCCCTGCCTGGGGCCGGTCTCAGGTGACAGCTAGGAGAGAGCACGGCCGTCAGCCAAGGCAGCAGCAGTGGGGATGCCTCACTCAGGCAGGCTGCAGCCTGGGCAGCCATGGGACATGTGCAGCGAGCAGCGAGGAGCAGATGGGTGATGGTAAATGCCAGCATGTCTGCAAGGAGCCTACAGAGCAGGAAAGACCTCCGGAATGACAGCCATGTCCACAAATCCCCCCAGGAACAAGCCAGGAGATGCCAGATGTGGCCGAGCAGAGGGTTGGGATTTGGACACCCTGCTGCAGATGGAGCCACCCTGCAGGTGGCAGGGACACGGATGGGAAGGAGACAGGGCAGCATCAGCCACAGCTCCAGCTGAGCCGGCACGGAAGCATGTGGATCTGCCTGGCCTTTGGCCAGGTCCCACATACCCGGGGATGAGGTCCCCACGTCCAAGATGTCCTCAAAGGAGAAAGCATCTCCACCAGGTCCCTGTGCGAGGTAGGCAGCAGGGAGAAGAGTTTTTCTCTGCTGGCAAACCCTGTGCTAAGGCCGGCTGGGAAGGAAGGGGACCTCACCCTGGTGCTGCGTCTCATTTACCAGGATGATGCCCAATAAAGCGGACAGATATGGCGGACAGACGGCAGTGGGATGAGGGATGGATGGAGGCATGGGCCCACTGCTGCCTCCAGCCAGGCAACTACAGGCAGTTTTACACCAGCACTCGCCGGCCCCGGGGCCCAGCTAATCAGGATGAAAGGCAGGGCTGTGTGCCCCGGCTGGGACCAGGGACAGGGCTGGGTCACCGGTGACACTGACATGGAGCAGGGGAAAAGGCAGCCACAGGCAGCGGGTGAGGGAGAGAATAACAGAGGCTGGGTCAGTTTAGGAAGAAGGTGTGTCCTGATCCAGGAAAGGGACCGTTTTGTGGCAGGTGATTCCCTCCTCTGCTCCTGCTCCTGCTCCCGTGGTGCTAGTGAAGGTCCCTCTAGCACCGGGAGGCATCTCTGCCAGCACTGAGCCCAGCGTGGGGACAGGCTCATGCCACAGCCCCACTCACACTGCGACCCAGCACGTGTGAGCTTGTTACATTCCTGGCAAATCTGGGCAGCTGCAATCCTGGGGCCTGAGCCAGCTGGAGCCTCCTCCTCCTCACATGGGGCTAGTCCTGGCTGCTACCTCCGCAGCAAGGAAAGGCAGATGAGCAGAGGGTGGGAAACGTGCAGCAGTGGACATTGTCCACATCCCCAACTCTGATGGACCATGGGGATGGTTTCTGCAGGGCCCCATCGCTGCCATCGCCTCTCTGGGGTTAACCACTGCCCTTCGGATTCACACCGGGCTGGTCGCCTTACGCGGTTCCCCCCTGCACACAGGCAGCCTGCAGGATGAGACCTTGAGCAGTGGCAGAGCTGGGATCGGCACCCGGAGCCCTGGCTCCCACCAAGGCAGCCACAACTCTCAACTTACACGGTACCAAAAACCCCCCTG